GTCGAGCAAATTCGCGTTAACGAAACATACGAAATTGCAGAGATGACTGCATTTATAATTTTTATTCAAAATCAGTGATGTAAGAATTACGATTTAGTATAAGAATCAGTACGAGATACATTGTAAAACATTATAAATAATAGTAAAGTATATTTTTTCACTTTTTGACTTTCTGGTTTCAAAATCGTCGTTATTCTGAAATGGTGCAAATTGAGGGCTACCTGTATATAATTTTCTAAACTACATTTATGAAATGAAATACAGATTGTGATGTCCTGTATTGTGACGCCATGTAGTCTTGAAGGTGGATACCACTGTTCCACAGGCACCTTTACCCTGAAGATGTAGGTGATTGGTTCTCCAGAAATATCAGTAATCGTCTACATGTCATAACCCAGATGACCACAATCCAAATTTTCACCACAGTAAAACCTCATACAATTTGAATTTATCCTCTACTGGTCACAAATGCAATGATGAGAGACAATTTCAATTGCTTTTCCTCTTTATGGGAGATTCAGGACTCTTTCTACTGACAATTATTCAACAAAGTCCGAGTACTGGGAGAAAAACAATAAATGTTATGACAAATCAATAATATTAAAGAAGGTACATTATTACTTACTCTAAGAATATAATCCTTTCCATCCAGGGTAAAATTCCTACTGCCAAGTATAAAATCAATCACAGGTAGCTTGGGAATCAAGTTGCAGTCCACCTAAATGTACATATAGAACAAGAGTGACAAAAAATTCAGTATTCACAAAACTGTTAAATTTCTCCAGTTGGGCAATATAAGTTTGTCATAATCTAGCAATTAAATGTAATGTACCAAGTGAGTCAGCATTCTAGGCAAGTGTGCGAATGGCCATATGATATACAGTGAAACCTCGATGCATCGTTTTCGGCGGGGGTGGGAAATAAAAACGATAGATGCGGGAAAACGATAGATGCGGGAAAGCATTAAAAATTTTAAAAAAAACAATGTTTCTCTTTCAAAGTTACTTCTTTTTACCAAAAAAGTCTTTAATGGACAACTGGTTTGTCGAAACTT